TGGATAATAACTGTAGCAAAGTTGGCTCTAGTTAGTGTCTGATTGCAGGCGTGCAGTCAAGTAGTAGGGTGGATACCTATGACATTCAGGAAGCCACACACAAATGAACAGACACACTCACACAGCCCAATTTGTGTTGAGTGGAGGCCATTAAGGGAGAAATAAACATTGATTCCCAAGCCCATTGAGCCCATCCTCAGAAACGTGACATTCTTATCACTCCGCACCCTCTGAACTACCCACAGACTACCGCCCAGCCCCCGTCTTCATTTCGACATACCCCACCTGCTATCTCCCAAACACTTAAAACCTTCATTATATGCACCTATAATGAAGTCACACTTAATCATCCCTCCTCCCCTTGATCCCCTTGTCTGCTTGTTAACTGTCACGCCTGGGTGACAGCAGAAGCTCCTCCCTTCGACTGACTAGCTACTGATAAAGTACCGAGGCAACATCTGAGAGAATAGCTCGAGAAAAAGACTTGAAGAGCTGACAGCAGAGGAGCTGCAGATACCCAAAATTCAGTTAAGGCCTCACATGTCAGCAAAAAAAGTTATTAAAGATTAGACTCTGCAGAACAGTGTTAATTATCAAACAAGCATGGCTTCATTATTAACTACTAATTTCATACAGTCTAGCTAAGAAAAGCTTTATTATTTATGTAAGTTGGGATGCAGCTGTTTGTTCAATTTATGTTATATCAGGTTCATGTTTTAAAAGCTCCACATCAATTGTGAGGAGGAGAGCCATTTTGCAATATGCATTATTAACAAACCCGTGATGAATGAGTGCTCTTGTGCAGAAGGTTCTTTGCTATAGGAAGCCTCCTACTGCTTTTTAAAGTAAGCACAGTAAGGAGAGTAAATGGCACAGCAGCGCTACTGACAGTAACTATAATCCCAAAATACATTGCTGTGTTCTTGTATACTGCCCATGCTTTTGCCACCATGGATATTCATTATGTAAGTCTTTCCTTTTCCAAGAACAAAGGAATGGCCACTGATAAGAAACAATGTCTCAGCCTGAGAAAGGCAGTCTAATAACACAGAGACGTTGTTCAAACAATCATTAACGGCTCTTAAATGAGGCTTCATATGATCAAAAGCAAACAGCAGTCACATTCATGCTAATTTGTCATTGTTCACAAACACATTCTATTCACATATGGTGGGAGAGAGGCGCAGACGAGAAGCGACTGATAACAGATAACAAGCTAGACTATAAAAGGACAAATGCAAAGACGGCAATCAAACAATGACTTTCAACGTGCCGCGTTCGCAAACATGACAGCAGACCAAATGTTGTGTCCTCGTGGTTTTTTTCCCCCACATATACTTCTTCAGGAATAACAACACTTGCCCTGTTACTTCAGCTTTAGGTCACAATTTTTAATTTCAGGTGATTCTTTGTTTTTGTTGAAGATCTTGGTTAAACATAAGTAGCCGTTACCTTGTATTTTTACATGACCGCAAA